CTATGAGTCAAAAATGACTCTACGGCACATAACAAAAACAACAACATCTTCTTTGGTAAAACTCTTCTAGGGGAGCTCTGGTGACTTAGTGATAAGAAGCTTTGCTGTGATCCCAAAGGCATGTGGTTTGAATCCACCAATTCAAATCTGCCAGTTTGAATCCTACAGTTTGAATTTGCCAGCTGCTCTATAGGAGAAGGATAGGTAGTCTCCTCTCATGTGATTAACTCCTTCTGAAATCCTACTGGAGGGTCAGCTATGAGTCAGTTCTGACTTGATGGTACAAAACAACAACAATGACAGCATATCTTTTTTTTTAACACTGTTCAAGTCTTTTATCTATATTTTGTAAAATAATTGCTTCCTTACAGTAAGTTTTGAAGATTCTGTTAATAATCTAGATACAATTTCTTGGTCATATAAAGAATTTGCAAATATAGTTCAGCTTACCTGTAGTGGGAAACTCTAGAGACCTATTAATAAGGAGCTCTACTTCTAAACCAAAGGCATGCGGTTAAAATCCACCAGCAATTTTCAAGGGAGAAAGATGAAAAGCCTCCTTCGTAAGATTTGCAGCCTCTGAAAACCCACTGGAGGGTCGGGTGTGAGTTGTTTCTGACGCGACATCAGTGGGAGAGTCTGTAGTGTGACTTCTCCTTTGAATAGTGAGTAGTAGAATTGAAGTTTCACTGCAGAAAGATTGATTTATGAAATTTTCCTGTTATGGCTCATGCTTTCGTTGTCATGTCTGTGAAGTCTTGTTTAATCCCAGGCATGGAGAGTTTCTTCTGTGTTTTCTAGTAAAATGTTTACGACTTTAATCATATCTTTAGATCTTTTCTACATTTAATTTGTCAAAGATCAAGATTCTGTTTTTCCCCTTTTTTGCATATATGGGTGTCCAATTGGAAAAAGAAAAATATTGTTCATCTGTTGAGTTGCCTCTACACTTTCATCAGAATGCAAGAACTGGCTTTAAATTCCAGGCCTCTTGGGCATACCCTCAATACCTGCCCCTACTTTGTTGCAGCCAGTTTTCTGGGGCAGCTGCAGTGTTGACTTCTATATGCATCGATGTTAGGATAGTCTATAGGTGGTGATCAGGGTCACAATGAAAATTTACAGCCAGCAGTAGCACAATGAAATGGTTATACGTTGTTGTTGTTGTTATGTGCCGTCGAGTCGCCTGCAACTCATAGCGACCCTATGTACAACAGCCCTAAACTCCGCTCTGTCCTGTGCCAGTCGCACTGTCTCTGACA